AAAAAAATCATAGCTGTGTACATTAATGCAATCATGGGGTATGATGTGCTGGTTTTATATACCATTTGAAATATTTTCATCAAACTGGTTAACATAGCCCACACTGAATTTTTTCCAAGCTGCTTATTTCTCTGTTTACTGTGAATAAGAAGATATTACAGAGTGTTAAGAATAATAATCACTGCACTGACGTTTGGCTTCAATTTAATGTTTACAGCTAATTGCAGAGATGACATGACCTGTGTGAAAGAAGAGATCTTTGGGCCTGTTATGTCCATTTTATCATTTGACACTGAAGCTGAGGTTCTAGAAAGAGCCAATGATACCACTTTTGGACTAGCGGCTGGCGTCTTTACCAGGTAGGTGGAGGACACCCACAGCGGATTTGAAGAAATGTGGCTGCAGTGTCTGCTTAGATGTGTAATTGATCTTACTTCTTCACTGGAGTTTGCCCTCATGGGAGCCATCAGCATTTTCTGTATGCTTCAGTTTAAGTTTGAAAATGCCAAAGCAGCATTTTTTAGTTGGTTCTGAATGGCTGGAGAACCCTGCTATTGAGTTTAAAGTGTGCCGTAAACTGTTGATGAAAATTCTGCCGCTTTTCACTTAGTCATTGAATAAACGTTTAAAGTTTGATCTCTGTAAAACACTGACTAGGTGTCTGTTGAAAGCATACATGCCAAGAAATTTAAAACCTGTAACCATACATATAAATGGTGGGTGGTAAGGCTGGGTACAGTGGCTCAGCCTGTAATCCTAGCATTCTGGGAGGTCGAGGCGGGTGGATTGCTGGAGCTCACGGGTTTGAGACCAGCCGGAATGAGAGCAAAACCCTGTCTCTAACAATAGCTGGGTATTGTGGCTGATGCTTGTATGCCCAGCTACTTGAGAAGCTGAGGGAAGAGAATCACTTGAGCCCAAGAGTTTGAGGTTGCTGTGAGCTATGACACCTGGCACTCTACTGAGGGAAACAAAGTGAGACTGTCTCAAAAAAAAAAAGGTGAGCAGTATTCTTTTTTTTTTGTGAGTGGTATTCTTAAAAAACACAGTTTTTAGTAGCACTGCAGTAGTTCCTAATTGGAACTCACTGCGACTGGTGTAGGAATTTTTCTGTTGTCACATACTTACAGTGTTTCCAATTTTAACTGTTGTAAGTAACGCTTTGATTAATATCTCTGTACATAAATTTTAATAACCACTAGTAGAAGTAAAAATGATTTGGGAATACACTGTCCTTGAAAACAGTTGGCAGATTGCTTGGTTTTATACAAATTTGGTTAGTCTTTAGCAGTAATAGGCAGTTTGCTAAAGCTGCTTTTACACTTAGGATTACAATGTTTCTTTCTTTTTTTTTTGAGACAGAGTCTCATTGTGTCGCCCTGGGTAGAATGCTGTGGTATCACGGCTCACAGCAACCGCAAACTCTTGGGCTTAAGCAGTTTTCTTGCCTCGGCCTCCCAAGTAGCTGGGACTACAGGCACCCACTATAGCACCTGGCTGTTTTTTTGTTGTAGTTGTTACTGTTGTTTGGCAGGCCTGGGCTGGATTCAAACCCACTAGCTCTGGTGTATGTGGCCAGTATCCTAGCCACTGAGCTACAGGCGCTAAGCGGGATTACACTGTTTCTTGGCGATGTACAAAGTTAACTTTTTTTGTAGCTTTGTGGTCAGGAACCTGGGAAGAAAGGCCCAAGTCTTCCTTGAGAACCTGATGTCATTGCTTCTTTTTGAGCTCTGAAAATAAGATTGGAGAGTTGCTTTTGTGATTTTGGCATAGAGTAGGTTAAGTGCTTTTAACTTTCCATTGCCATGCTGATATAAACAAAGTCCCATTACAAAAGAAGGTAACTCCCATATGCTTTTTCTTTTTTTTTTTTTTTTTTTTTGACAGAGTCTCAAGCTTGGGTGGAGTGCCTTGGCATCACAGCTCACAGCAACTTCAAACTCTTGGGCTTGGGCTTAAGTGATTCTCTTGCCTCAGCCTCCCAAGTAGTTGGGACTACAGGTGCCTGCCACAACACCTGGCTATTTTGTGCTTGTAGTTGTTGTTTGGTAGACCCAGGCTGGATTCTAACTCACCAGGTCCAGTGTAAGTGACTGCTGTCCTCGCCGCTGAGCTACAGGCGCTGAGCCTGCTTTTTTTTTTTTTTAATAGCTTTACTGAGATAATTCATGTATTATACGATTCATTTGTTCAGATTGTACAATTCACCGGTTATTAGTATATTTACAGAATTGTGCAACCATCACAACAGTGTATCTTGGGGACCTTTTTATCATCCCATGAAGAAACTCTGTGCCCATTATCAGTCACTCTCCATTCCTACCCCTGGCCCCCCTCCCTCAGATCTGGACACCAATAATCTATTTTCTATTTCCATGGAGTTGCCTATCCTGAACATTTTATATAAATGAAGTTATATGAAATGTGTTCTTTCATTTAACATCATGTTTTCGAGGTTCGTGTAAGTTGTCGCTGGTATCAGTACTTTATTCCCAAATAATATTCTACTGTATGGATACATACCCCTTTTTGTTTATCTGCTCACCTGTTGCTATATCTTTGGGTCGTTTCCACTTTTGTATATGAGTCTGTGTGGACATGTATTTTCATTTCTGTTGCATATATATCGAGTGGTGAAATTGCTGGGTCATGTGATGGTTTTATGTTTAGCTTTTAGAGGAACTACTAAACTGTTTTACAAAGTTTTACAAAGTTTTTTACACCATTTTACATTCCTACCAACTATGTATGAAGTTTCCAATTTCTCCCCGTCCTTGCCAGCCCTTGGTATTGTCAATCCTTTAGATTTTAGCCATCCCCATGGGTGTGACATAGTATCACATTGCAGGTTGTTCTTGGGTATTGTTTTCTTTTCCCCCATTTTTGTTTTTTGAGACTGGGTCTTGCTTTGTTGCCAGGCTAAAGTGCAATGGCATCGTTATAGTTCACTGCAACTTCAAACTCCTGGGTTTGAGAGATCCTCCTGCCTCAGCCTCCAGAATAGCTCGGGATATAGGCATGTGCCACCATGCCTGGCTAAATTTTCTATTTTTTGTAGAGGTAGTGCCACGCTATGTTGCCCAGGCTAGTCTTGAAATCCTGACCTGTAGCATTCACTCACTTCTGCCTCTCAAAGTGCTAGGATTACAGGCAGAATGCCCTAAGCCTGGCTTTCTTTCATTGTAGTTTTGATTTGCCTTTCTGTGGGTTTTCTTTTCACTTACCTGATAGTAGTATTTGGAGCACAAAATTTAAAATTTTGACAAAGTCTAATTATTTAGGTTTTTGTCTGTTACTTTTAGTGTCATATCTAAGAAGTCTTTGCCTAACTCAAGGTCATGAAGATTTATTCCTGTGTTTTCTTCAGAGGGTTTTATCGTTTTTCCTGTGACATTTTGGGTCTGTGGTCCATTTGAGTTAATTTTTGTGTGCAGTGTAAGATTTATCTTTTTGCATGGAGCTTTCCATTGGTTCCAGCA